CCTTCTTATTTTCTCAGCAAAAATTTATTAGTTAATAGAAAATAAGAAAGTAAAAATTATCCTTCTTTCCATCTTGCGCTCACAAATCATTATGGGAATATCCATTTACAATTATTAAAACCTGGAAAAAGCATGTCTGCGATGTTGTCGTCATGCGATGATTTGTAGGTACTTTATTTTATACCACGATATTTTCGACGACGATGTTTTTAAACTACGAAGTTTTTAAACCGCTTTATTTTCGACGACGATGTTTTGTAACACGATGTTTTAGAACTGTGATGTTTCCTCTTAGCGATGTTTTCTCCCACGATGTTTTGTAGCACGACGTTTTCGCCTTGCGTTGTTTTCTCCTCGACGTTTCCGTCCGCGATGTTTTTGTCACGATGTTTTCGGCTGTAACCCATTCTATAGATTAGCTATGGAACTTCACGTATTTTACAGATGTTTGTTTCGGTGTTTTCTCCTACTAATAAAATTCGCTATTCCATAACTAAAATTTGCAGCTTTCTTTGTTTATATAAGTATTTCTAGTATATACAATATTCCTTGCCCGTGTGGATGAATATACATTCGTCAGGCTGAAACAGCATTTATATTTCGAACTATGAAGAACTATGTTAGAAATATGTATATGTTTCGGACTATGTTAGAAAAAAAGAAACAAAATAATTTTATTATCCAACAAAGCTGGTTAAAAAAAAAAAAAAAAAAAACATTTACCGTTTATTTGCAGCCAAAATTATTCAAACAAATCTTGAGTTGGCGATTTAAATTTGATAGAGACATTCGACATTAATAAAAATTTTTCAGTTCTTGTTAATGATACCAATTCTAATCCGTTACATCATCAAATTTAAAAGAAATTATGTCACAGTTGTTTCATTTTTGGTCAATAGATGTCACCAACGGCTTTTCTCCCCCTTCCTTAACTCGAACTTTTGTCTATTGTTATCACGTATGCACACGCTTTTCCTTTCTTATTTTCTCTTCTGCGACTGAAAAAGAAAGTTCTAATTAACCTTCAAAATTACTGTTGCAAATTAACGGAACTTGCATTGAATTTTGTTGCTATAGTATCCTTAAAATTAGCTACATTTCTATTATTCATACGATTAATTGAAGAGTTGCAAATTTTTAAAAATTTCGAAATTACATTTAGCTCGCAAAAGTAATTAAACAATTAATCATTTCCGTAACGTTTTATTCTTGTTTCCTTAATGTCTTTAGACGCATTTTAAGTGAGTGACATATGAGTAATTTTCGTTAATTAAATACTAAAATATGTGCGGTTTTAAACTACATTTTGATCCCTCTAAAGCTTTGAAAGATATTCATTTACCAGCTCCTTCTTTATTTTGATAATCATTTAGTTTACTCGTAACTGAAACCATTTCATATCCCAAAATGAATGCCAAGATGAAAGGGCAAATAATCGTTACTTTTAGAAATCGATTTTGTTAGCTTGAAACTACATATTTCCTGATATTATAAATTTTTACATGATCTTTTATATTCCTTAAACATAAATGATTCAAATTACTGGAAACTTTTAGAAAAGAACTAAAATGGGTTTAGAAGCAAAAATTTTCAAAGCATGTGAAAGTCCTGATGTGAAAGGAATTTGTTTAAATATTTCTAAGTTGAGTATTAATCATTAAAGAACAAAATCATTAATTTTGTGAAAAATACACTTTTCTTATTGAAAACACTTTAATTTTCTATTCGCAAACCATGATCCACAAAGCATCATTGATTCAACAAATATCGTAAAACGCTAATGTTCCAGAACGAACGCTGATTCATGTTTAAAATTTCTAATAAATTATCTGCTAAATATTAAGCACTGACATTTTAAAATTAATATCTCTAAATGATAAAATTTCATATTCAGTGTAAAAATTAAAATAAGATAATTGCTTATTAAAACCTATTGCTTCGATTACGAAAATATACTAGTACATAATAAATTTAAATCTATAGTTTAAGAATGTACCATTAAAAGACCAATGTAAAATCTCAAGCAAAAGGATAAATTGCTTAAGATAATCAATAAAGTCCATTGATTACTGATATTTAAACATGAAATTAAATTCTAAAGAAAACACCGTCTGCAGGGTCCTCTTCATGTTTGTTCATTTCAGTTATATGAATACGAGCCAGTTTCCTTTATAACATTCTCCGCAAAATAATCCATCTCCTTAGGCAGGTAGCTCATCTTGCGGGCTTTGCCGTAATCAATTAAATAATGAAAAAAATCTGAAAGGTTTCAGATTTTATATTATGTTCAAAGGGTTATCGTTTTCATTTGCACACAAATATACGTTTCGAGAGCACTTAGTGAGACTAAGCCTATCTTTAGAATTGCTTTATTCCGTATAATGTATCAGCTTCCTTTGAAATAGTTGACTATTTTAATAGAAAAAATAGTTAAAGTTTTATAAAATATAAATGAGCTAATAAAACAATTTCAAAATTCAAATTCAGGCTTCTAGGAGCCCATGTTTGGATGGAGGGAGGTGTCTTCTAGGAGCTATGTTATTCAAAACTGGATGGCTCTAGATACTACTGTCTTTTCACAATGCGAGAAATATACATACATTCATGCAGATTCTTTATTTTTTAACTTCTTTAAATATAATACAGGGCGATAATTTTTGGTGGCTACAATTTGAAAATTTATTAACGATTTTAGTGAATTGACGCAAAATGCCGTTTTGATATTAATAGCTCGTCTGGGTTAATGCCCCTTTAGACTAACAATCACTGATTGATCTTGAATTCCTGAATGAACATTAAAAAAAAAGTCGCTTAATTTTTCAGGCGCGTGATCAAAAATATGAAAGGTTTCAGATTTTATAATACACTCAAAGAGGCTTTTTTTTTTTTTTTTTTTTTTTTTTTTTTTGGCACATCGATACAAGTTTTGAGAGCATTTGGACTAAAATATTTAAAAACAGCACCTTTTTAGAATTTCCGATAAACAGTCTTGTGTGCTAGAGATAAAAATATTTCATTCCGTACAGTTTGTTGGTGCGACTGTTCGCTTTGAAATCGTTGAGCTTCTTAATAAAAAAAATCGTGAAATTCTAAAAAATAAGAAATAGATAATAAAACAAATTATAAATTCTAGATTCTAGTGCCCATATTTGGGTGAAGGACTACGCTATTCAAACCTTGATGGCATCGTGGCTTTTTCACAATGCGAGAAAAACGTATTCATGCAGATTCTTCATTTTTTAATTTCTTTAAATATAATGCAGGGCGATAATATTTGGTGGCAACAATTTGAAAAGTGATACAGCCGTTTGCAGTTACTCGACGCAAAATATGTTTCGAGACTAACAACCTTCTGCTAACGGCCCTTTGGACTAAAAAAAAAAAAAGTAAAGGGAGAATACAGCTATTGTTTCTTTGAAATATCAAACAGAAATCAAGGAATTTTAAGTATTTTAAGGAACTCTTCAAGAAGAAATGTTAAAAAAATTATCTGAAGGCTTATAGAGTCTGGTTTTCTTATGTAGCATAAAATTAGACCAAAACTCTAAAAGACAACCGGTGAATTATCACTAAGTCTTGCAAGTGACACAGAGACAGGGAAAGATTGTAAAACACTCTCTAATTAATTTAAATATAAAGTTTAACAATCGGCACCAGCTCGTGGTCAGAAGCCAATAATTTGGCCTAAATTAAAGATAATTGAGGAAGTAAACTAATGAAATTATGTGTAGGCTGACAGCTTCACAGTATAATTAGCGAGCAAGTTGGCACTGACCGAAGTCGGCGTAAACAAGCCCGATGGCAAGAATAACTCAACATCATAAAACACTAATCGAGAGAATCAAATTTTGCAACGTGGCGTACAACCATGCAGAACACGCTTTAATTCTGACTTCTAAAACCTTCCTTTAAATACTCTCCTCTTTCCACCTAATTTGAATATCGCGAGCCATGGAAATTTATATGATGGCAAGGAATTGTAAATTAGGCTGATAGGATAGCAATTTAACACAAAATAACGGGCTAGAAGCTTAAATAATAACGTACAGGGTTTGTAATTAAATTTCTTTATATTACATAAGGTATTTCGCTACTCCTGACGCAACTGCTTTTACCTTTTTATAACCATTATTAGTTTGTTGTTATTATTGCTTTTTAAGAAAAGAAATACAAACCTCTCTTGTTCATCAGATAGGTCATGAGGCTTGCAGAAGTAAGTAAATACCTCAGCAATACATTATAAGGTATTTCTCCCACTTCCCTAGCGTGCCTTCGTGGTGTAGTGGTTGCACGCTGGACCGGTATTCCAGAGGTCCGTGGTTCGATTCCCGGCGAAGGCGATTGCTCCTTTTTCATTTTGCCTGCTTCCAAAAATACCTAATGTATCTACAGTGGCGCCCGAACTAAAAGGGTGTTGGATGACGATTCTCCTCACCCAGGATTTGGCGATTGGGTCCCCTAAAAAACCCCCGTCGCTTTTTAAAAGGTGGAGTATATAAGGCGGAGAAGGCGATTGTTGACGCTTATTTTTCTTTTTGCCTGCTACCAAAAAATACCTTATGTCTTTACAACTATTTTTATTATTTATTTACATTATAAGTTACCCATAGCGGAGATGAATATCTAAAAATATAACTATATCGTTTTTTTTATAATTAAATGCAAAAACTTTCAGTAAATAATTTGTAAAGACATTAGCTTATTTGGAAACAGGAGAGATGGAAAATGAGCAACGCCCTCGCCGGGACTCCAACGACGGACCTCTCTAATACGCGCCGAGTGTGCTGACCACTACACCACGAAGGAATGCTAAGAAAGCGGAAGAAATACCTTATAAATTGAAAAAAAAAATTAATTACAGAGAGTACTTCATTTCCTTTTATTACTGTTACTGGAATGCATAATGATAGAGTAAAAGCTTTAAAGTGAGTGCGCGTTGAAGACCAAGGATGTGAATTGAAACAGAATGTGAACAACTACAATTTGAAGGAATTTCTTACCCATCTGAGAGGTAATCGTGCGCAAATCTCGAATTGGGCTCGGAGTGCCTGTTCAGCCTGTAGATTTGTTGATGTTGAAGAATGGGTGATTGTTGTTGATGATGATGATGATGATGATTTTGTTGAAAGAGGGAGGGAGAACGCTCATGACCTTGCTTGGACTCGCGGGATTGCAGGCACAATCTCTGCACCACTAGATGGCGCTGATCGACGTCGAGTGATTCTGTAACGAAAGGAAAGAGAAATTGCTCAAATTTAGAAGGAATAAAACTAAAACATTTGTTTACATGTAAATCTATCCACCGGACATTTCTCAAGCACAAAGAGAAAGTATATAAATAAAATGAAAATGTTGTATTATTATTTATTAGTAATTAGGTGTAAGAAAATAACTGATAGTGTTATCAAATTATTTTAGATTTAAAAATTTCAAACGGACACATGCACAGTATTAAAATGTCAAAAATATGAATATATGTCAAATAATATGAAAAATTCAATATAAATGCAGATAAAATTTCTTATTATTTAATACACATAAAAATTTGACAATGGTTTTCCCATTACTAAACGGGAATAAATTCTAAGAATTGTAAAATTTGCGTTATTAAAGTAACGTTGAGCATTCAAAAATAAACAGTCTGAATATGAAAGCAATCATTGCTTGATCAAGCGACAAAAGACATTGCATAATTAACAAAATTTATATGCACAAATTAATACGCGTATATTTGTTTGTTTACAAATTACAGCGCAAATTAATATGTTATAAAAGGTGTTTAATCACACATAAAATACGCAGGCACACTGCGGAAAAAAAAAAAAAAAAAAAAAAAAAAAGGTTAGTTCTATATCATCTGTTCTACTGGGCCGATTGACGAAATTCAATTTTCGTTTTTCATACCTCGGAAGTGCGACTTAGGATATGTGTTAGATTTATATATAGCATTGTATAGCTAATATAGGTACTTATTATATAACATTATTCTAATATAGGTACTTATTATATAGCGTTCTTCTACTATAACACAAAATCAGACTTTTCCTGAAATGGCATGCCAAATTTTTCCATAATTCGATTCTAGGACTCAAATTCTGCCAAACTGCCAAGTTTTGTAAAAATCGCACGAGTAGCTTTTAAAATATTAGCTCTCAAAAGTTTAGCTCCTCAGTGTTAATTGAATTATATATATATTTAATAATATCTCTTTTTTATTACACTTGCTTGATTCTTTCTTCCAGAATTCGAAATTCAGGCTTAATCCAAATGTAATTCTCACATTTTTTACTATTTATTTTAAAAATTTGTGTTTTAAAATATTTTTTATAAATTCTTCGAATATTTTTTTTTATTATAACCTATAATATTTTTAACATCTTCTTAATGCGGGTGTACTTCTAAGCACATCTGCAAAAAAATAGAGTATTTTATTCAAAATTTCCTGAGATATACGTGACTTTACATTTTGGCGCGTTTTGAACTTTGGCGTATTTATTATAAGCGATAGTAAAGAAAATGTGATTTAAGCACTTTATTAAAATGTTTGGAAAGAATGGAACGATGGACCAGTTTTTCCTTTCGTGCATCAATGAAAAAAAAAAAAAAAAAAAAAAAAAAAAAAAGCAGGTATGTTTCTATAAATTAAAAATTCCGCCAAGTGATTCTTGGCATGTTAAAATTTATCCATAACGTTCTCACTAAAATATAAAACTAAAAATTTATCCATAAATTTTTCACTGATAAACATGCACCAAGATAAATGTTAAAATTTATCCATAACTTTCTCGCTAAAAATTTTAAAAATAATATCTAGGCATAATGAGTCATAGAACCGAAATATGGAAAAAAACTATGTCTATCGGACGTTTCCTGATACTTCTCCTGATATTTCTGAATCGGACTTTTTCTGCCGATTTTGTGTCCAACTACCTATGTCAGAATAATACTGTATATAAATCTAATATATATCCTAAGTCGCGATTTCAAGACATGAAAAACACAATTTGAATTTCGTCAATCGGCCCTGCATAACGGATGATACAGAACTGTTAATTTTTTTTTCGCAATGTACAAGAAAATAATGCACTACCAAACGCAGAAATATGAGAATACTGTTTTCGCAACAAAAACAAGGACTGCTTCAAATTCCAAAAAATATACCCAGCAGTGTATTGCAGAAATTTAAAGCAAATAGGTAAACAAAATAAATAAGAGAATTTTTTTCAAGCCTAATTTTCATTACGATATAGTATTACTTAACCTTTTGAGGCTTTGGTAGCAGTAAAAGCTACCAAAGAACGGGGAATCTTGAACCGAATGCTTTCCCCCCTTTAAGAAATCACCTCCTATTTGCAACAAAGATTCTTGTGTGTAGTTTAATGCATTCTCAGAGGGGTGCAACTATGTCGCAAAAGGAAGATTTTTGAAAGAGATAAGTTGTTAAAACCCCAGGGACGTCAAATTTGACATTTCACCCCACGTTTTAGCCTGGAAAATGGAGGAAAAAGACATGGCCACTAAAGTGGACAACCCCGTCTTTCCAAAGAGAGGACTCTATGGCCACTATAATGGCCATCTCGTCTTCAAAAGATTAAAAACAGGTAATGTTTACTAAAGCAAATATCTACTTTACCCATGTTGTATTTTCAGTAAAAAAAAAAAAAAAAAAAAAATCTGAAAAAAATGTTGTTCTGAAATAAATTTTAAATGTACTAAAATTACTTATTACTAGCTTACCTAATAAACATTACCTCTTTTTAGCCTTTTGAAGATGAGATGGCCATTATAGTGGCCATAGAGTCTCTAAGGTCTCTCTCTCCTAGATAAGCTAATAATAAGTAATTTTAGTACATTTAAAATTTATTTCAAAACAACATGTTTTTCAGATTTTTTTTTTTTTTTTTTTCTTTAAACTGAAAATACAACATGGGTAAAGTAGATATTTGCTTTAGTTTTCTCTCGCCTATATGTTGTATTAATTTTCTTTATTTTAATTTTTATTGTTTTTAATTGTTCTGATAATAATAATTATTATAATTAATTATTATTATAATTATTATGCCAGACTAAGCGGCATTTTGCATCGAATCATTAAATGAGTTGAATCACTTTTCAAATTGTTCCCACCAAATAATTTCGCCCACTATTGTTTTTAAAGAAATTAAATAACGAAAAATCTGCCTGAATGTATATATGTTTCTCACATTGTTAGAAAACAATAGGTACCTAGAGCCATGAAACTTTGAATAACGCAGTCATCCACCCGAATGTGGACACTTGAAAGCCCGAATTTTGAATTTCGAATTTGTTTTATTATCTATTTCATATATTGTAAAAGTATAACGAATTTTTTTTATTAAAAATTCAACAATAACAAAGGGAGCTGTGGCAACACTGCTCGGAATAAAACATTGTCAGCTCCAGCGCGCAAGCCTGTCCATCGGAAACTCTAAAAATATGCTGTTTTTAAGTATTTTTAGCCAAAATGTTCTCGGAACATATATGTGTATTTAAACGAAAAATATTAAACCCCTTTTGGGGTTAATGTAAAATATGAAAGGTTTCATTATTTATTTGTTACTACTTCCTTATATTATTTAATACATGATTTTAAAAGCTTGAAAACCGTTCAAAGCTCCATATAAAATGTAGGAATGGCATAACTATCAGATATATTCTTAGAACTCGCACATAGAATTTGCTTGCTTATTTGCTTTCTGAAAGGAGAATGTTTTAAATGATTTGAAGCAACATGCCCTTATTAATCATACTGAGCATATACACATTTTTATAGACACCTGTTTTATGTTCACATGATAATATATATCTTTCAGACATAGAAATTTATAAATTTGATATTCATACATTCTTTATTTAACTTCATCAATTTACACATACACATCTTATGTATATGCGGCTTAAGTGTTTGTCGTCGATAGTTTATTGGTTGCTTGCGTAACTGTAAATTATTTTATTCCCCCGTGCAGTACAGCGCGTGACGAATATTATGAGAAAGCTAAGCCGTAAAAATTAAAAATACAAGAGCACGTGCATTTAACATTTAATAAATAAATTTAACATCTATATATAATAGAATTCGGAAATATGCAACCGGCAAAAACCGGCAACAATGAAAAAACAAATAAAATGAAATAAATAAGTATCTTTATTATATTCGGCTTAAATGTCTGTTTGTCGCCGGTAGTTTATTGCTTGCGTAACTGTACTAGCCAATGAAGTGAAGTTGCCACGGCACAGGGTTGCCGTTTCAATTGAGACGTAGACAATTTCCTGTGAAACTTGCCTTTGCTATGACCATCCATGAGTCTCAGGGCCAAACGCTTAAGCGTGTTGGCATTTTTTTACCTGAGCCTACTTTTGAACACGGTCAACTTTATGTTGTCTGTTCAAGAGTACGTGAAAGAACGGACGTAAAATTAAAAATAATGGATGGTCCACTGCAGGCGAGCTTAATAATGATGGAAAGATCTACACAAGAAATGTGTACAAAGAGAGCTTTGACATGTGAATTAACATTTTATTATTTAAATCACCTTTATTTATTGAGCTAGAGGTGGCTCTTAAGAAATGTACCGCCAGTGGTTTCCTTCATTGCTCTCTACTTTAAGCAGTTAAGCAAGGAGAAGGGGGAAACACCGTGGGGCAGTAAGCAAAGGGGCGTCCTCGCCGCCTGCGTGGGTAATTCAGTTTGAATTATCAGACACCTTTGCACAAATAATTTTCATTGCAATTTATAATATCTAGAACAGCGGTCATTTCGTATGAACGCCATGCTTTCTAGTATATATATATATATATATATATATATACATGCATTTACATACACAAAGAGAGAGAGAGAAGGAATATATTGTTGCGTTGTACGGGTTCGCGGATTTAGAGTGCTTGACGACAGCACTCTAAATCCAGTGACGACAGCACTCAGTAAGAATCAAAATACAATTTATTCGCCAGTATTTCGCAGGAGAGTTCCAAAGACGCGTTTACAATCGTCGAAAAACTGCTATAAACACAATGAAGCAAGGCTGTAACGGTGAAAAGAGCTTCACGACAAAACACTAAATAATGCTTCCGGCTCGTCCGATCGCTCTAGGAGCTCAAGATCCTCTTCACGATATAATTCACGATACATTCCACGATAAACTCAAGATAGACTCCACGATACACTGCTAATCTGCTTACAGACAGGGTTTATACAGCTT